CCAACGAAGCAAATGGATGGGCATAATGGTTGTGTGAACTAACGAAGGCACTGGATGGGCATAATGGTTGTGTGAACTAACGAAGGCAATGGATGGGCATAATGGTTGTGCGAACTAACGAAGGCACTAATGGGCATAATGGTTGTGCGAACCAATGGATGGGCATAATGGTTGTGCGAACTAACGAAGGCAATGGATGGGCATAATGGTTGTGTGAACTAACGAAGGCAATGGATGGGCATAATGGTTTGCGAACTAACGAACAATGGATGGGGCACGAAAAGGCAATGGATGGGCATAATGGTTGTGCGAAATAACGAAGGCACTGGATGGGCATAATGGTTGTGAACTAACGAAGGCAATGGATGGGCATAATGGTTTGTGCGAACTAACGAAGGATGGGCATAATGGATGGGCATAATGGTTGTGCGAACTAACGAAGGCACTGGATGGCTGGGCAATAACGAAGGCACTGGATGGGCATAATGGTTTAATTATTGAACTAACGAAGGCACTGGATGGGCATAATGGTTGTGCGAACTAACGAAGGCAATGGATGGGCATAATGGTTGTGAACTAACGAAGGCAATGGATGGGCATAATGGTTGTGCAGACGAACTGGATGGGCACGAAGGCAATGGATGGGCATAATGGTTGGATGGCATAATGGTTGTGAACTAACGAAGGCAATGGATGGGCATAATGGTTGTGCGAACTAACGAAGGCACTGTGGATGGGCATAATGGTTGTGTGAACCAACAGAAGGCAATGGATGGGCATAATGGTTGTGCGAACTAACGAAAGGCACTGGATGGGCATAATGGTTGTGTGAATTAACGAAGGCAATGGATGGGCATAATGGTTGTGTGAACTAACGAAGGCACTGGATGGGCATAATGGTTGTGCAGACTAACGAAGGCAATGGATGGGCATAATGGTTGTGTGAACTAACGAAGGCACTGGATGGGCATAATGGTTGTGCGAACTAACGAAGGCAATGGATGGGCATAATGGTTGTGTGAACTAACGAAGGCAATGGATGGGCATAATGGTTGTGTGAACTAACGAAGGCAATGGATGGGCATAATGGTCGTGTGAACTAACGAAGGCAATGGATGGGCATAATGGTGTGCGAACTAACGAAGGCACTGGATGGGCATAATGGTTGTGTGAACTAACGAAGGCAATGGATGGGCATAATGGTTGTGTGAACTAACGAAAGGCAATGGCTGGGCATAATGGTTGTGTGAACTAACGAAGGCAATGGATGGGCATAATGGTTGTGCGAACTAACGAAGGCAATGGATGGGCATAATGGTTGTGTGAACTAACGAAGGCAATGGATGGGCACTAACGTAGGCACCGGCTAATGGTTGTGCGAACTAACGAAGGCACTGGATGGGCATAATGGTTGTGCGAACTAACGAAGGCAATGGATGGGCATAATGGTTGTGCGAACTAACGAAGGCAATGGATGGGCATAATGGTTGTGCGAACTAACGAAGGCACTGGATGGGCAACGAATGGTTGTAATGGTTGTGTGCGAACTAACAGAAGGCAATGGATGGGCATAATGGTTGTGCGAACTAACGAAGGCAATGGATGGGCATAATGGTTGTGTGAACTAACGAAGGCACTGGATGGGCATAATGGTTGGATGGGGCATGAACTAACGAAGGCAATGGATGGGCATAATGGTTGTGTGAACTAACGAAGGCAATGGATGGGCATAATGGTTGTGTGAACTAACGAAGGCACTGGATGGGCATAATGGTTGTGCGAAGAACTAACGAAGGCACTGGATGGGCATAATGGTTGTGCGAACTAACGAAGGCACTGGATGGGCATAATGGTTAACGAAGGCAAACATAATGGATGTGAATGAAGGCAATGGATGGGCATAATGGTCGTGTGAACTAACGAAGGCAATGGATGGGCATAATGGTTGTGCGAACTAACGAAGGCAATGGGCATGGGCTAACGAAGGCACTGGATGGGCATAATGGTTGTGTGAACTAACGAAGGCAATGGATGGGCATAATGGTTGGAATGAACTAATGGTTGTGAACGAAGGCACTGGATGGGCATAATGGTTGTGCGAACTAACGAAGGCAATGGATGGGCATAATGGTTGTGCGAACTAACGAAGAAGGCAATGGATGGGCATAATGGTTGTGTGAACTAACGAAGGCAAATGGATGGGGTTTGTGAATGGTGGATGGGCATAATGGTTGTGAACTAACGAAGGCACTGGATGGGCATAATGGTTGTGTGAACTAACGAAGGCACTGGAACTGGGCATAATGGTTGTGTGAACTAACGAAGGCAATGGATGGGCATAATGGTCGTGTGAACTAACGAAGGCAATGGAACTAACGGGCAATGGAATGGTTGTGCGAACTAACAATGGCAACTAACGAAGGCAATGGATGGGCATAATGGTTGTGCGAACGAACGAAGGCAATGGATGGGCATAATGGTTGTGTATTGAACTAACGAAGGCACTGGATGGGCATAATGGTTGTGTGAACTAACGAAGGCACTGGATGGGCATAATGGTGTGTGAACTAACGAAGGCAATGGATGGGCATAATGGTTGTGCAGAAGGCAATGGATGGGCATAATGGTTGTGTGAACTAACGAAGGCAATGGATGGGCATAATGGTTGTGCGAACTAACGAAGGCACTGGATGGGCATAATGGTTGTGTGAACTAACGAAGGCAATGGATGGGCATAATGGTTGTGCGAACTAACGAAGGCACTGGATGGGCATAATGGTTGTGTGAACTAACGAAGGCAATGGATGGGCATAATGGTTGTGCGAACTAACGAAGGCAATGGATGGGCATAATGGTTGTGTGAACTAACGAAAGGCAATGGATGGGCATAATGGTTGTGCGAACTAACGAATGGATGGCAATGGATGGGCATAATGGTTGTGCGAACTAACGAAGGCAATGGATGGGCATAATGGTTGTGCGAACTAACGAAGGCACTGGATGGGCATAATGGTTGTGCGAACTAACGAAGGCACTGGATGGGCATAATGGTTGTGCGAACTAACGAAGGCAATGGATGGGCATAATGGTTGTGCGAACTAACGAAGGCAATGGATGGGCATAATGGTTGTGTGAACTAACGAAATGGCAATGGATGGGCATAATGGTTGTGAACTAACGAAGGCAATGGATGGGCATAATGGTCGTGCGAACTAACGAAGGCACTGGATGGGCATAATGGTTGTGTGAACTAACGAAGGCAACGGATGGGCATAATGGTGTGTGAACTAACGAAGGCAATGGATGGGCATAATGGTTGTGTGAACTAACGAAGGCAATGGATGGGCATAATGGTTGTGTGAACTAACGAAGGCAATGGATGGGCATAATGGTTGTGCGAACTAACGAAGGCACTGGATGGGCATAATGGTTGGGCGAACTAACGGGCTGGATGGGCATAATGGTTGTGTGAACTAACGAAGGCAATGGATGGGCATAATGGTTGTGCGAACTAACGAAGGCACTGGATGGGCATAATGGTTGTGCAGACTAACGAAGGCAATGGATGGGCATAATGGTTGTGCGAACTAACGAAGGCAATGGATGGGCATAATGGTTGGCTAACGAAGGCAATGGATGGGCATAATGGTTGTGCGAACTAACGAAGGCAATGGATGGGCATAATGGTTGTGAACTAACGAAGGCAATGGATGGGCATAATGGTTGTGCGAACTAACGAAGGCAATGGATGGGCATAATGGTTGTGAACTAACGAAGGCAATGGATGGGGCATAATGGTTGGTTGTGAAACTAACGAAATGGTTGTGTGAACTAACGAAGGCAATGGATGGGCATAATGGTTGTACGAACTAACGAAGGCAATGGATGGGCATAATGGTTGCGTGAACTAACGAAGGCATTGGATGGGCATAATGGTTGTGTGAACTAACGAAGGCAATGGATGGGCATAATGGTTGTGCGAACTAACGAAGGCAATGGATGGGCATAATGGTTGTGTGAACTAACGAAGGCAATGGATGGGCATAATGGTCGTGTGAACTAACGAAGGCAATGGATGGGCATAATGGTTGTGTGAACTAACGAAGGCACTGGATGGGCATAATGGTTGTGCGAACTAACGAAGGCAATGGATGGCATAATGGCATAATGGTTAATGGTTGTGCGAACTAACGAAGGCAATGGATGGGCATAATGGTCGAACTAACGAAGGCAATGGATGGGCATAATGGTTGAACTAACGAAGGCAATGAACTAACTAAAAGGCAATGGATGGGCATAATGGTTGTGTGAACTAACGAAGGCACTAATGGTTGTGTGAACTAACGAAGGCATGGAATGGTTAACGAAGGCAATGGATGGGCATAATGGTTGTGTGAACTAACGAAGGCAATGGATGGGCATAATGGTTGTGAACTAACGAAGGCACTGGATGGGCATAATGGTTGTGTAACGAACAATGGATGGGCATAATGGTTATTAAGAACGAAGGCAATGGATGGGCATAATGGTTGTGCGAACTAACGAAGGCAATGGATGGGCATAATGGTTGTGTGAACTAACGAAGGCAATGGATGGGCATAATGGTTGTGTGAACTAACGAAGGCACTGGATGGGCATAATGGTTGTGCGAACTAACGAAGGCAATGGATGGGCATAATGGTTGTGCGAACTAACGAAGGCAATGGATGGGCATAATGGTTGTGCGAACTAACGAAGGCAATGGATGGGCATAATGGTTGTGAACTAACGAAGGCAATGGATGGGCATAATGGTTGTGAAATAACGAAGGCACTGGATGGGCATAATGGTTGTGTGAACTAACGAAGGCAATGGATGGGCATAATGGTTGTGCAGAACTAACGAAGGCACTGGATGGGCATAATGGTTGTGTGAACTAACGAAGGCAATGGATGGGCATAATGGTTGTGCGAACTAACGAAGGCAATGGATGGGGTTGTGTGAACTAATGGTTGTGTGAACTAACGAAGGCAAGGATGGGCAATGGTTGTGCGAACTAACGGGCAATGGATGGGCATAATGGTTGTGCGAACTAACGAAGGCAATGGATGGGCATAATGGTTGTGAACTAACGAAGGCAATGGATGGGCATAATGGTTGTGTGAACTAACGAAGGCAATGGATGGGCATAATGGTTGTGCAACTAACGAAGGCACTGGATGGGCATAATGGTTGTGCAGAACTGGATGGGCATAATGGTTGTGCGAACTAACGGCAATGGATGGGCATAATGGTTGTGAACTAACGAAGGCACTGGATGGGCATAATGGTTGTGAACTAACGAAGGCAATGGATGGGCATAATGGTTGTGTGAACTAACGAAGGCAATGGATGGGCATAATGGTTGTGCAGAAACGAAGGCAAATGAACGAAGGCAATGGATGGGCATAATGGTTGTGCGAACTAACGAAGGCAATGGATGGGCATAATGGTTGTGTGAACTAACGAAGGCACTGGATGGGCATAATGGTTGTGCAGAACTGAAGGCAACATAATGGTTGTGAACTAACGAAGGCAATGGATGGGCATAATGGTTGTGTGAACTAACGAAGGCAATGGATGGGCATAATGGTTGTGTGAACTAACGAAGGCAATGGATGGGCATAATGGTTGTGCGAACTAACGAAGGCAATGGATGGGCATAATGGTTGTGCGAACTAACGAAGGCAATGGTTGTGTGAACTAACGAAGGCAAATGGTAATGGTGTGCGAACTAACGAAGGCAATGGATGGGCATAATGGTTGTGTGAATGGGCATAATGGTTGTGTGGAACGAAGGCACTGGATGGGCATAATGGGCATAACGAAGGCAATGGATGGGCATAATGTTGTGTGAACTAACGAAGGCAATGGATGGGCATAATGGTTGTGTAACGAACTAACGGCAATGGATGGGCAAATGGTTGTGGGAACTAACGAAGGCACTGGATGGGCATAATGGTTGTGTGAACTAACGAAGGCAATGGATGGGCATAATGGTTGTGCGAACTAACGAAGGCAATGGATGGGCATAATGGTTGTGCGAACTAACGAAGGCAATGGATGGGCATAATGGTTGTGTGAACTAACGAAGGCAATGGATGGGCATAATGGTTGTGGAACTAACGAATAATGGTTGGATGGGCATAATGGTTGTGAACTAAAGGCAATGGATGGGCATAATGGTTGTGCGAACTAACGAAGGCAATGGATGGGCATAATGGTTGTGAGAACTAACGAAGGCAATGGATGGGCATAATGGTTGTGCGAACTAACGAAGGCAATGGATGGGCATAATGGTTGTGCAATGGTGGATGGGCATAATGGTTGTGCGAAACTAACGAAGGCAATGGATGGGCATAATGGTTGTGTGAACTAACGAACTAACGGCACTGGATGGGCATAATGGTTGTGTGAACCAACGAAGGCAATGGATGAAATGGTTGTGCGAACTAACGAAGGCACTGGATGGGCATAATGGTCGTGTGAACTAACGAAGGCAATGGATGGGCATAATGGTTGTGCGAACTAACGAAGGCAATGGATGGGCATAATGGTTGTGTGAACTAACGAAGGCACTGGATGGGCATAATGGTTGTGTGAACTAACGAAGGCAATGGATGGGCAAATGGAACTAACGGGCAATGGATGGGCATAATGGTTGTGCGAACTAACGAAGGCAATGGATGGGCATAATGGTTGTGTGAACTAACGAAGGCACTGGATGGGCATAATGGTTGTGTGAACTAACGAAGGCAATGGATGGGCATAATGGTTGTGCGAACTAACGAAGGCAATGGATGGGCATAATGGTCGTGTGAACTAACGAAGGCACTGGATGGGCATAATGGTTGTGTGAACTAACGAAGGCAATGGATGGGCATAATGGTTGTGCGAACTAACGAAGGCAATGGATGGGCATAATGGTTGTGCGAACTAACGAAGGCACTGGCTGGGCATAATGGTTGTGTGAACTAACGAAGGCAATGGATGGGCATAATGGTTGTGTGAACTAACGAAGGCAATGGATGGGCATAATGGTTGTGAACTAACGAAGGCAATGGATGGGCATAATGGTTGTGCGAACTAACGAAGGCAATGGATGGGCATAATGGTTGTGTGAACTAACGAAGGCAATGGATGGGCATAATGGTTGTGTGAACTAACGAAGGGCAATGGATGGGCATAATGGTTGTGTGAACTAACGAAGGCAATGGATGGGCATAATGGCTGTGCGAACTAACGAAGGCACTGAATGGGCATAATGGTTGTGTGAACTAACGAAGCAATGGATGGGCATAATGGCCAGTGGACTAACGAAGGCAATGGCTGAACTAACGAAGGCAATGGATGGGCATAATGGTCGTGAATCAACGAAGGCAATGGATGGGCATAATGGTCGTGTGTGAACTAACGAAGGCAATGGATGGGCATAATGGCCAGGTGAACTAACGAAGGAACTAACGAATAATGCGAACTGGAATGGGCATAATGGTCGTGTGAACTAACGAAGGCAATGGATGGGCATAATGGTCGTGAACTAACGAAGGCAATGGATGGGCATAATGGTCGTGAACTAACGAAGGCAATGGATGGGCATAATGGTTGTGTGAACTAACGAAGGCAAAGGGTTAAAGGAACTAACGGGGCATATGGTTGGTCGTGAACTAACGAAGGCAATGGATGGGCATAATGGTTGTGTGAACCAACGAAGGCAAATGGATGGGCATAATGGTCAAAGTGAACCAACGAAGGCAATGGATGGGCATAATGGTTGCAAGGAACAACGAAGGCACTGGCTGAATCAACGAAGGCAATGGATAATGGGCGAACTAACGAAGGCAATGGATGGGCATAATGGTCGTGAACTAACGAAGGCAATGGATGGGCATAATGGTTGTGTGAACTAACGAAGGCAATGGATGGGCATAATGGTTGTGTGAACTAACGAAGGCAAGGATGGGCATAATGGTTGTGTGAACCAACGAAGGCAATGGATGGGCATAATGGTTGGTGTGAACAACAAAGGCACTGGATGGGCATAATGGTTGTGAACTAACGAAGGCACTGGCTGGGCATAATGGTTGTGCGAACTAACGAAGGCAATGGATGGGCATAATGGTTGCGCGAATTAACGAAGGCAAATGGCTGGGCATAATGGTTGCGAACGAACGGGCAAGGCAATGGATGGGCATAATGGTTGGGCATAATGGTTGAACTAACGAAGGCAATGGATGGGGTCATAATGGATTAATGGTGTGAACCAACGAAAGGCACGGTTGGAACTAACATAATGGATGGGCGAAATGGTCAACGAAGGCACTGGATGGGCATAATGGTTGTGTGAACTAACGAATGGGCATAATGGTCGCGATGAATGGATGGGCATAATGGAGTGAACCAACGAAGGCAAATGGATGGGCATAATGGTTGTGAACTAACGAAGGCAATGGATGGGCATACGCTTGTGTGAACTAACGAAGGCACTGGATGGGCATAATGGTTCTGTGAACTAACGAAGGCAATGGATGGGCATAATGGTTGTGCGAACTAACGAAGGCACCGGATGGGGTTGTGCGAACTAACGAAGGCACTGGCTAACGAAGGCAATGGATGGGCATACGGTTGTGCGAACTAACGAAGGCAATGGATGGGCATAATGGTTGTGCGAACTAACGAAGGCAATGGATGGGCATAATGGTTGTGCGAACTAACGAAGGCACCGGATGGGCATAATGGGCAATGGATGGGGCATGAACTAACGAAGGCACTGGACGGGGCAATGGTTGTGTGAACTAACGAAGGCAATGGATGGGCATAATGGTTGTGTGAACTAACGAAGGCAATGGATGGGCATAATGGTTGTGTGAACTAACGAAGGCACTGGATGGGCATAATGGTTGTGAACCAACGAAGGCAATGGATGGGCATAATGGTTGTGTGAACTAACGAAGGATAGGCAATAACGAAGGCAATGGGGGCATAATGGTTGTGCGAACTAACGAAGGCAATGGATGGGCATAATGGTTGTGTGAACTAACGAAGGCAATGGATGGGCATAATGGTTGCGAACTAACGAAGGCAATGGATGGGCATAATGGTTGTGCGAACAACGAAGGCACTGAATAATGGTTGTGAACTAACGAAGGCAATGAATGGGCATAATGGTTGTGTGAACTAACGAAGGGATGGGCAATGAACTGAAGGCATAATGGTTGTGAACTAACGAAGGCAATGGATGGGCATAATGGTTGTGAACTAACGAAGGCAATGGATGGGCATAATGGTTGTGTGAACCAACGGGCAAATGGATGGGCAAATGGTCGTGTGAACGAAGGCAATGGATGGGCATAATGGTTGTGCGAACTAACGAAGGCAATGGATGGGCATAATGGTTGTGTGAACTAACGAAGGGCAATGGATGGGCATAATGGAAGGCAATGGATACATAAAGAACTAACGAAGGCACCTGGATGGGCATAATGGTTGGGTGAACTAACGAAGGCAATGGATGGGCATAATGGTTAAAGCGAACTAACGAAGGCAATGGATGGGCATAATGGTTGTGTGAACTAACGAAGGCAATGGATGGGCATAATGGTTGTGCGAACTAACGAAGGCAATGGATGGGCATAATGGTTGTGCGAACTAACGAAACTGGATGGGCATAATGGTTGTGCGAACTAACGAAGGCAATGGATGGGCATAATGGTTGGGGCATAATGGTTAAAGGAACTAACGAAGGCACTGGATGGGCATAATGGTTGTGCGAACTAACGAAGGCACTGGATGGGGCATAATGGTTGTGTGAACTAACGAAGGCAATGGATGGGCATAATGGTTGTGAACTAACGAAGGCAATGGATGGGGCATAATGGTTGTGTGAACTAACGAAGGCAATGGATGGGCATAATGGTTGTGAAACTAACGAAGGCAATGGATGGGCATAATGGTTGTGCGAACTAACGAAGGCAATGGATGGCATAATGGTTGTGTGAACCAACGAAGGCACTGGATGGGCATAATGGTTGTGTGAACTAACGAAGGCAATGGATGGGCATAATGGTTGTGTGAACTAACGAAGGCACCGGATGGGCATAATGGTTGTGAACTAACGAAGGCAATGGATGGGCATAATGGTTGTGAACTAACGAAGGCAATGGATGGGCATAATGGTTGTGTGAACTAACGAAGGCAATGGATGGGCATAATGGTTGTGTGAACTAACGAAGGCACTGGATGGGCATAATGGTTGTGCGAACTAACGAAGGGCAATGGATGGGGCATAATGGTTGTGCGAACTAACGAAGGCAATGGATGGGCATAATGGTCGTGAACTAACGAAGGCACTGGATGGGCATAATGGTTGTGTGAACTAACGAAGGCAATGGATGGTTAACTAACGCATAATGGTTGTAAACTAACGAAGGCAATGGATGGGCATAATGGTTAAAGAACGAAGGGATGGCATAATGGTTGTGTGAACTAACGAAGGCAATGGATGGGCATAATGGTTGTGAACTAACGAAGGCAATGGATGGGCATAATGGTTGTGTGAACTAACGAAGGCACTGGATGGGCATGGTTGTGTGAACTAACGAAGGCAATGGATGGGCATAATGGTTGTGCGAACTAACGAAGGCACTGGATGGGCATACGGTTGTGCGAACTAACGAAGGCAATGGATGGGCATAATGGTCGTGTGAACTAACGAAGGCAATGGATGGGCATAATGGTTGTGTGAAAGAACGAAGGCAATGGATGGGCATAATGGTTGTGTGAACTAACGAAGGCAATGGATGGGCATAATGGTTGTGCGAACTAACGAAGGCACTGGATGGGCATAATGGCTGAACCAACGAAGGCACTGATGGGCATAATGGTGTGAACTAACGAAGGCAATGGATGGGCATAATGGTTGGGAACTAACGAAGGCAATGGATGGGCATAATGGTTGTGTGAACTAACGAAGGCACTGGATGGGCATAATGGTTGTGAACTAACGAAGGCACTGGATGGGCATAACGGTTGTGAACTAACGAAGGCAATGGATGGGCATAATGGTTGTGTGAACTAAATGAAGGCAATGGATGGGCATAATGGTTGTGTGAACTAACGAAGGCAATGGATGGGCATAATGGTTGTGTGAACTAACGAAGGCAATGGATGGGGCATAATGGTTGTGAACCAACGAAGGCACTGGATGGGCATAATGGTTGTGAACTAACGAAGGCAATGGATGGGCATAATGGTTGTGTGAACTAACGAAGGCAATGGATGGGCATAATGGTTGTGTGAATTAACGAAGGCAATGGATGGGCATAATGGTTGTGTGAACTAACGAAGGCAATGGATGGGCATAATGGTTGTGTGAACTAACGAAGGCAATGGATGGGCATAATGGTTGTGCGAACTAACGAAGGCACTGGATGGGCATAATGGTTGTGTGAACTAACGAAGGCAATGATGGGCATAATGGTTGTGAACTAACGAAGGCAATGGATGGGCATAATGGTTGTGTGAACTAACGAAGGCAATGGATGGGCATAATGGTTGTGAACTAACGAAGGCAATGGATGGGCATAATGGTTGGCAATGGATGGGCAACTTGTGTGAACTAACGAAGGCACTGGATGGGCATAATGGTTGTGAACTAACGAAGGCAATGGATGGGCATAAGGGTTGTGAACTAACTAAGGCACTGGATGGGCATAATGGTTGTGCGAACTAACGAAGGCACCGAATGGGCATAATGGTTGTGTGAACTAACGAAAGGCAATGGATGGGCATAATGGTTGTGAACTAACGAAGGCACTGGAACGGTTAAAGCGCGAACGAAGGCAATGGATGGGGCATAATGGTTGTGAAACCAACGAAGGCAAATGGATGGGGCATAATGGTTGTGTGAACTAACGAAGGCAAATGGATGGGCATAATGGTTGTGTGTGAACTAACGAAGGCAATGGATGGGAACATGGATGGGCATGGTTGTGCGAACCAACGAAGGCACTGGATGGGCATAATGGTTGTGTGAACTAAGGCAATGAAGGCTAACGAAGGCACTGGATGGGTATAATGGTTGTCCGAACCAACGAAGGCACCGATGAAGCATAATGGTTGTGGGAACTAACGAAGGCAAATGGATGGGCATAATGGTTGTGAACTAACGAAGGCAATGGATGGGCATAATGGTTGTGTGAACTAACGAAGGCAATGATGGGCACAATGGTTAAAGGAACAACGAAGGCACCGATGGGCATAATGGTTGTGAATTAACGAAGGCAATGGCATAATGGTTGTGCGTAACGAAGGCACTGGATGGCATAATGGTTAAAGAACTAACGAAGGCAATGGATGGGCATAATGGTTGCGTGAACTAACGAAGGCACTGGATGGCATAATGGTTGTGCGAACTAACGAAGGCACTGGATGGGCATAATGGTTGTGCGAACTAACGAAGGCAATGGATGGGCATAATGGTTGTGTGAACTAACGAAGGCACTAGCTGGGCAAATGGTTGTGTGAACTAACGAAGGCAATGGATGGGCATAATGGTTTGTGTGAACTAACGAAGGCAATGGATGGGCATAATGGTTGTGCGAACAACGAAGGCAATGGATGGCATAATGGTTGTGTGTGAACTAACGAAGGCACTGGATGGGCATAATGGTTGTGTGAACTAACGAAGGCAATGAATGGGCATAATGGTCGGTGTGGAACTAACGAAGGCAATGGATGGGCATAATGGTTGTGTGAACTAACGAAGGCACTGGATGGGCATATGGTTGTGCGAACTAACGAAGGCACCGGATGGGCATAATGGTTGTGTGAACTAACGAAGGCAATGGATGGGCATAATGGTCGTGTGAACTAACGAAGGCAAATGGATGGGCATAATGGTTGTGTGAACTAACGAAGGCAATGGATGGGCATAATGGTTGGTGTGAACTAACGAAGGCAATGGATAGGCATAATGGTTGTGCGAACCAACGAAGGCAATGGCTGGGCATAATGGTTGTGTGAACTAACGAAGGCACCGGATGGGCATAATGGTTGTGAACTAACGAAGGCACTGGATGGGCATAATGGTTGTGAACTAACGTGATGGGCATAATGGTTGTGAACTAACGAAGGCAAATGGATGGGCATAATGGTTGTGAACTAACGAAGGCAATGGATGGGCATAATGGTCCGTGTGTGAACTAACGAAGGCAATGGATGGGCATAATGGTCGTGTGAACTAACGAAGGCAATGGATGGGCATAATGGTTGTGCGAACTAACGAAGGCACTGGATGGGCATAATGGTTATGCGAACTAACGAAGGCACTGGATGGGCATAATGGTTGTGCCGGATGGGCAACTAACGAAGGCACTGGATGGATGGGCAACAAGCAATAATGGTTGTGCGAACGAAGGCAATGAACAGAACTAACGAAGGGCACTGGATGGGCATAATGGTTGTGTGAACCAACGAAGGCAATGGATGGGCATAATGGTTGTGTGAACTAACGAAGCAATGGATGGGCATAATGGTTGTGCGTGGAACTAACGAAGGCACCGATGGGCATAATGGTTGTGGCTGAAGGCAACGGATGGCACAATGGTTGTGTGAACTAACGAAGGCAATGGATGGGCATAATGGTTGTGCGAACTAACGAAGGCAATGGATGGGCATAATGGTTGTGCGAACTAACGAAGGCACTGGATGGGCATAATGGTTGTGCGAACCAACGAAGGCAATGGATGGGCATAATGGTTGTGCGAACTAACGAAGGCACTGGATGGGCATAATGGTTGTGAACTAACGAAGGCAATGGATGGGCATAATGGTTGTGCGAACTAATGAAGGCACTGGATGGGCATAATGAAGAAGACTAACGAAGGCACTGATGGGCATAATGGTCGTGAACTAACGAAGGCAATGGATGGGCATAATGGTGAACTAACGAAGGCAATGGATGGGCATATTGGTGTGCGAACTAACAGAAGGCAATGGATGGGCAATGGTTGTGTGAACTAACGAAGGCACTGACGGGGCATAATGGTTGTGTGAACTAACGAAGGCACTGGATGGGCATAATGGTTGTGCGAACTAACGAAGGCACTGGATGGGCATGAACATGGGCATAATGGTTGTGCGAACGAAGGCAATGGATGGGCATAATGGTTGTGCGAACTAACGAAGGTACTGGATGGGCATAATGGTTGTGTGAACTAACGAAGGCAAATGGATGGGCATAATGGTTGTGCGAACTAACGAAGGCACTGGATGGGCATAATGGTTGTGAACTAACGAAGGCGTGGATGGGCATAATGGTTGTGTGAACTAACGAAGGCACTGGATGGGCATAATGGTTGTGCGAACAGCGAATGGATGGGCTAATGGTTGTGCGAAGGCACTGGATGGCATAATGGTTGTGGACTAACGAAGTGGAAGTAACGAAGGCAATGGATGGGCATAATGGTTGTGCGAACTAACGAAGGCACTGGATGGGCATAATGGTTGTGTGAACTAACGAAGGCAATGGATGGGCATAATACGTTTGAACTAACAGTGGCACTGGATGGGCATAATAGTTTGTGGAACTAACGAAGGCACTGGATGGGCATAATGGTTGTGTGAACTAACGAAGGCACTGGATGGGGCATAATGGTTGTGAACTAACGAAGGCAATGGATGGGCATAATGGTCGGTGAACTAACGAAGGCACTGGATGGGCATAATGGTCGTGAACTAACGAAGGCAATGGATGGGCATAATGGTTGCGAAGGCAATGGTTGAAGAACGGAAGGCACTGGATGGGCATAATGGTTGTGTGAACTAACGAAGGCAATGGATGGGCATAATGGTTGTGTGAACTAACGAAGGCACTGGATGGGCATAATGGTTGGTGCGAACGAACGGGCACTGGATGGGCATAATGGTCAATAGGAACTAACGAAGGCAATGGATGGGCATAATGGTTGTGAACGGGCGAAGGCAATGGATGGGCATAATGGTTGTGCGAACTAACGAAGGCAATGGATGGGCATAATGGTTGTGTGAACTAACGAAAGGCACTGGCTGGGCATAATGGTTGAACTAACGAAGGCACTGGATGGGCATAATGGTTGTGCGGAACTAACGAAGGCAATGGATGGGCATAATGGTTGTGGAATTAACGAAGGCAATGGATGGGCATAATGGTTGTGCGAACTAACGAAGGCACTGGATGGGCATAATGGTTGTGAACTAACGAAGGCACTGGATGGGCATAATGGTTGTGCGAACTAACGAAGGCAATGGATGGGCATAATGGTTGTGTGAACTAACGAAGGCACTGGATGGGCATAATGGTTGTGTGAACTAACGAAGGCAATGGATGGGCATAATGGTTGTGCGAACTAACGAAGGCACTGGATGGAGCATAATGGTTGAATTAACGAAGGCAATGGATGGGCATAATGGTTGTGTGAACTAACAAGGCAATGATGGGCATAATGGGCAACTAGAGAGAACGGATGGGCATAATGGTTGTGAACTAACGAAGGCAAAGGATGGGCATAATGGTTGCCGAACGAACGAAGACTGATGGGCATAATGGTTGTGTGAACTAACGAAGGCAATGGATGGGCATAATGGTTGTGCGAACTAACGAAGGCACTGGATGGGCATAATGGTTGTGCGAACTAACTAACGAAGGCAATGGATGGGCATAATGGTCCGAACTAACGAAGGCAATGGATGGGCATAATGGTTGTGCGAACTAACGAAGGCAATGGATGGGCATAATGGTCGTGTGAACAACGAAGGCACTGGATGGGCATAATGGTCGTGTGAATGAAGGCAATGGATGGGCACACTATTGGTCGTGAACTAACGAAGGCAATGGATGGGCATAATGGTTGTGTGAACTAACGAAGGCAATGGATGGGCATAATGGTTGTGTGAACTAACGAAGGCAATGGATGGGCATAATGGTTGTGTGAACTAACGAAGGCAATGGTGGGCATAATGGTTGTGTGAATCCAACGAAGGCAATGGATGGGCATAATGGTTGGTATGAACTAACGAAGGCAATGGATGGGGCATAATGGTTGTGAACTAACGAAGGCAATGGATGGGCATAATGGTTGTGTGAAATAACGAAGGCAATGGTGGGCATAATGCAACTAAGAAGGCAGGGCATAATGGTTGTGCGAACTAACGAAGGCACTGGATGGGCATAATGGTTGTGTGAACTAACGAAGGCAAATGGATGGGCATAATGGTTGTGCGAACTAACGAAGGTAATGGATGGGGCATAATGGTTGTGAACTAACGAAGGCAATGGATGGGCATAATGGTTGTGCGAACTAACGAAGGCACTGGATGGGCATAGTTTGTGAATGAACTAACGAAGGCAATGGATGGGCATAATGGTTGGCGAACGAAGCAATGGATGGGCATAATGGTTGTGTGAACTAACGAAGGCAATGGATGGGCATAATGGTTGTGAACTAACAGAAAGGACTGGATGGGCATAATAACGAATGGATGGGCAATGGATGGGCATGGGGCATAATGGTTGTGAACTAACGAAGGCACTGGATGGGCATAATGGTTGTGTGAACTAACGAAGGCAATGGATGGGCATAATGGTTGTGCGAACTAACGAAGGCACTGGCTGGGCATATGGTTGTGCAGACTAACGAAGGCACTGGATGGGCATAATGGTTGTGTGAACTAACGAAGGCAATGGATGGGCATAATGGTTGTGAACTAACGAAGGCAATGGATGGGCATAATGGTTGTGCGAACTAACGAAGGGATGGGCATAATGGTTGATGGGCATAATGGTTGTGAACTAACGAAGGCACTGGATGGGCATAATGGTTGTGCGAACTAACGAAGGCACTGGATGGGCATAATGGTTGTGCGAACTAACGAAGGCACTGGATTGGCATAATGGTTGTGTGAACTAACGAAGGCAATGGATGGGCATAATGGTTGTGTGAACTAACGAAGGCAATGGATGGGCATAATGGTTGTGTGAATGGATGGGCATAATGGTTGTGCGAACGGCAAATGGATGGGCATAATGGTTGTGTGAACTAACGAAGGCAATGGATGGGCATAATGGTTGTGCGAACTAACGAAGGCACTGAATGGGCATATTGGTTGTGAACTAACAGAAGGCAATGGATGGGCATAATGGTTGTGCGAACTAACGAAGGCACTGGATGGGCATAATGGTTGTGCGAACTAACGAAGGCAATGGATGGGCATAATGGTTGTGAACTAACGAAGGCACTGGATGGGCATAATGATAACGGGCATAATGGTTGTGTGAACTAACGAAGGCAATGGATGGGCATAATGGAGCGAACTAACGAAGGCAATGGATGGGCAACTAACGAAGGTGGATGGGCATTGGTTGTGCGAACTAACGAAGGCAATGGATGGGCATAATGGTTGTGAACTAACGAAGGCAATGGATGGGCATAATGGTCGTGTGAACCAACGAAGGCAATGGATGGGCATAATGGTTGTGCGAACTAACGAAGGCAATGGATGGGCATAATGGTTGTGCGAACTAACGAAGGCAATGGATGGGCATAATGGTCAACGGTTGAACTAACGAAGGCACTGGATGGGCATAATGGTTGTGTGAACTAACGAAGGCAATGGATGGGCATAATGGTTGTGCGAACTAACGAAGGCAATGGATGGGCATAATGGTTGTGTGAACTAACGAAGGCAATGGATGGGCATAATGGTTGTGTGAACTAACGAAGGCAATGGATGGGCATAATGGTTGTGAACCAACGAACTAACGAAGGCAATGGATGGGCATAATGGTTGTGCGAACTAACGAAGGCAATGGATGGGCATAATGGTTAACGAAGTGAATGGTTGTGTGAACTAACGAAGGCAATGGCTGGGCATAATGGTTGTGTGAACTAACGAAGGCAATGGATGGGCATAATGGTTGTGCGAACTAACGAAGGCACTGGCTGGGCATAATGGTTGTGTGAACTAACGAAGGCAATGGATGGGCATAATGGTTGTGCGAATAACGAAGGCAATGATGGGCATAATGGTTGGGTGAACTAACGAAGGCAATGGATGGGCATAATGGTTGTGAAACTAACGAAGGCAATGGATGGGCATAATGGAACTGGGCATGGATGGGCATAATGGTTGTGTGAACTAACGAAGGCAATGGATGGGCATAATGGTTGTGTGGAACTAACGAAGGCACTGGATGGGCATAATGGTGAACTAACGAAGGCAATGGATGGGCATAATGGTCGTGCGAACTAACGAAGGCACTGGATGGGCATAATGGTTGTGTGAACTAACGAAGGCAATGGATGGGCATAATGGTCGTGAACTAACGAAGGCAATGGATGGGCATAATGGTTTGTGAACTAACGAAGGCAATGGATGGGCATAATGGTTGTGTGAACTAACGAAGGCAATGGATGGGCATAATGGTTGTGCGAACTAACGAAGGCACTGGATGGGCATAATGGTTGTGCGAACTAACGAAGGCACTGGATGGGCATAATGGTTGTGTGAACTAACGAAGGCAATGGATGGGCATAATGGTTGTGTGAACTAACGAAGGCAATGGATGGGCATAATGGTTGTGCGAACTAACGAAGGCACTGGATGGGCATAATGGTTGTGAAACTAACGAAGGCAATGGATGGGCATAATGGTTGTGTGAACTAACGAAGGCAATGGATGGGCATAATGGTTGTGCGAACTAACGAAGGCAATGGATGGGCATAATGGTTGTGTGAACTAACGAAGGCAATGGATGGGCATAATGGTTGTGCAGAACTAACGAAGGCACTGGATGGGCATAATGGTTGTGCGAACTAACGAAGGCAATGGATGGGCGGTTGGTTGTGAACTAACGAAGGCACTGGCGCTGGATGGGCATAATGGTTGTGCGAACTAACAGAAGGCAATGGATGGGCATAATGGTTGTGCGAAACGAAGGCAATGGGCAAATGGTTGTGTGAACTACAATGGGCATAATGGTTGTGCAACTAACAGAAGGCAATGGATGGGCATAATGGATGGGCATGGTTGTGAACTAACGAAGGCACTGGATGGGCATAATGGTTGCGCGAACTAACGAAGGCACTGGATGGGGCATAATGGTTGTGCGAACTAACGAAGGCAATGGATGGGCATAATGGTTGTGTGAACTAACGAAGGCAATGGATGGGCATAATGGTTGTGCAGACTAACGAAGGCACTGGATGGGCATAATGGTTGTGTGAACTAACGAAGGCACTGGATGGGCATAATGGTTGTGCGAACTGAAGGCAATGGATGGCATAATGGTTGTGCGAACGGGCACTGGATGGGCATAATGGTTGTGTGAACTAACGAAGGCAATGGATGGGCATAATGGTCGTGAACTAACGAAGGCAATGGATGGGCATAATGGTCGTGTGAACTAACGAAGGCAATGGATGGGCATAATGGTCGTGTGAACTAACGAAGGCAATGGATGGGCATAATGGTCGTGTGAACTAACGAAGGCAATGGATGGGCATAATGGTTGTGTGAACTAACGAAGGCAATGGATGGGCATAATGGTTGTGCGAACTAACGAAGCAATGGATGGGCATAATGGTTGTGCAGACTAACGAAGAACTGGATGGGCACAATGGTTGTGTGCGAATGAAGATGGATGGGCATAATGGTTGTGGCAATGAACTAACGAAGGCAAAGGCTGGGCATAATGGTGGCTGGGCATAATGGTTGTGCGAACTAACGAAGGCAATGGATGGGCATAATGGTTGTGTGAACTAACGAAGGCAATGGATGGGCATAATGGTTGTGCAATTTAACGAAGGCAATGGATGGGCATAATGGTTGTGCGAACTAACGAAGGCACTGGATGGGCATAATGGTTGTGCGAACTAACGAAGGCAATGGATGGGCATAATGGTTGTGCGAACTAACAATGGATGGGCATAATGGTTGTGCGAACTAACGAAGGCACTGGATGGGCATAATGGTTGTGTTGAACTAACGAAGGCACTGGCTGGGCATAATGGTTGTGTGAACTAACGAAGGCAATGGATGGGCATAATGGTTGCGAACCAACGAAGGCAATGGTTGGGCATAATGGTCGTGCGAACTAACGAAGGCAATGGATGGGCATAATGGTTGTGTGAACTAACGAAGGCAATGGATGGGCATAATGGTCGTGTGAACTAACGAAGGGATGGGCATAATGGTTGGGAATAACGTGAAATATTTGTACTAACGAAGGCACTGGCTGGGCATAATGGTTGTGCGAACTAACGAAGGCACTGGATGGGCATAATGGTTGTGTGAAACTAACGAAGGCAATGGATGGGATGGTCAGCATAATGGTTGTGTGAACAACTAACGGGCAAATGGGCAATGGATGGATGGCATAATGGTCGTGTGAACTAACGAAGGCAAATGGATGGGCATAATGGTTGTTGTGAACTAACGAAGGCACTGGATGGGCATAATGGTTGTGCGAACTAACGAAGGCACTGGATGGGCATAATGGTTGTGTGTGAACTAACGAAGGCAATGGATGGGCATAATGGTTGTGTGAACTAACGAAGGCACTGGATGGGCATAATGGTTGTGAACTAACGAAGGCAATGGATGGGCATAATGGTTTGGTTGCGAACTAACGAAGGCACTGGATGGGCATAATGGTTGTGCGAACTAACGAAGGCAATGGATGGGCAAATGGTTGTGTGAACTAACAACGAATGGCAATGGTCAACTAACGAAGGCACCATAATGGTTGTTGTGAACTAACGAAGGCAATGGATGGGCATAATGGTCGTGTGCGAACAATGGATGAAGGCAAACGCAGAAGGCAATGGATGGGCATAATGGTCGTGTGAACTAACGAAGGCAAATGGATGGGCATAATGGTTGTGTGAACTAACGAAGGCAATGGATGGGCATAATGGTTGTGTGAACTAACGAAGGCAATGGATGGGCATAATGGTTGTGTGAACTAACGAAGGCAAATAATGGTTGTGTGAACTAACGGGCACTGGATGGGCATAATGGTTGTGTGAACTAACGAAGGCAATGGATGGGCATAATGGTTTATGTGAACTAACGAAGGCACTGGATGGGCATAATGGTCGAACGAAGGCAATGGATGGTCATAATGGTTGTGCGAACTAACGAAGGCAATGGATGGGCATAATGGTTGTGCGAACTAACGAAGGCAATGGATGGGCATAATGGTTGTGCGAACTAACGAAGGCAATGGATGGATGGGCATAATGGTTGTGTGAACTAACGAAGGCAATGGGCATAATGGTTGTGTGAACTAACGATGGATGGGCATAATGGTTGTGTGAACTAACGAAGGCAATGGATGGGTCGTGTGAATGGTGGGCACCAATGGTTAACTAACGAAGGCAATGGATGAAATGGTCGTGTGAACTAACGAAGGCAATGGATGGGCATAATGGTTGTGAACTAACGAAGGCACTGGATGGGCATACGAACTAACGAAGGCACTGGCTGGGCATAATGGTT